ATAATTCTTGTTTATTAGTTTTTAATTCTTAGTCAGCAGGACCCCGTTGATAACAGTACTTTGTACTGAAGGGTTATCCTGGGGAAATATTCGCTTATTATAATTGTTATTATTATTATCTGTAATTAATCACGATGTGTAAAGTGGATGGGCAAGAACTTCCTGTCCTTGACTACACCTTCTGCCTCAACTAAACATTACTTTAGCACAAAACCTCTCGCACGGCCCACGTGTGCAGTAAGGACAACTGCTGCAACTGGTACGAAAATCAATAAACGGGTGGCGATCCAGATTTTGTACTTCATTGGTCTGTACGTTATGTATCAGCACAGTATTCACACGGGCTGTGTTAAACACCTGAATGATTTTCAATGGTCTGCGAACAGACGGCGAGTGGGATGGTTTAGTTCAAACGTCATTGTAAATGTTTTCTATTTCAGTCATGCTTGTCACAATACTCTCGCTTGCCCTCTGTTCCCTCCTACGCAGAGGCCTTTTGGGCTTGTCACGCAATGACGGTCCATGTGTACCTGGTGTCTGTGTGTCTGTGTGTCTATGTGGCCACAAAAATGGACTAATGAAAGATTCTGAGGAAGTCCGATAGAAGGGATACATTTCACACTGATCAATAATTCAAATTCAAAATTGAAATGTTTTATCAGCTTCGAAATTTCCCTTCAAGAAATTTCTTATTTACAACTTCATCAGTGTCGGTTTTAAGGAATCGGCCGGCGTCGATAATAATCGGTTTCAGACTAATCCGTATAAAGTAATGTTTTTATTCAACTCCCAATGGAAATTATGCAAAAATATACTGATTTAATGAGCTGACGAGCAGTTTTAACATTCGCCAGTGACTGCTCACCACAGAACACGTTTGCGACCCGAGGTACCGTGTTGGATTAATTTGCTCAAGAAACGTTCATTAGATTACTGACGTCCTTTCGAGAGACGATCCATTGAGTGGATTACTTCGGCGCCGGTGCGTATTATTATTATTATTATTATTATTATTATTATTATTATTATTATTATTATTATTGTTATTATTATTACTATCATTTGTTCTCTCACTTTTGATATATCTACTCTCTATGCAGTTGTCTAAAAGTTTGTTGGCTACTTGTGATGCATAACCGCTGACCAAGTATTCCCTATTTTTTCCTCCAAAGCGAGTAAACCGTTTTAGACTCATGCTTGTGATGGTATACATAAGAAATAATGCAGCTTCTCTCAACGTTAACGTTGACCGTATTACCTAGGAAGACGAGCTATTCGTTTCGAATGGATAATGAGCCTTAAATGTATTATGGGCCTGGATAATTAAGTAAAATGAGACGCATTAAAGGTCACACGAACTTAACAATTCTACGGACTGGAAGAAGCATTAAACAGACGCATTATACATTTCTACTACTACGACGACGAATTAATTAATTAAGAATAACAATAATAATAATAATTATAACAATAAAAATAATAATAATAATAATAACAATAATAATAATAATTGCGTTCGACAGAACGCAGTTCTAATCGCGTAATAAATAAAAACTCGAGACCTGTGTATGTATCTATCTATCGGGGGAGACCAATTTGCCCACCTTCCCCCCCAAAAAAAATCTTCAGGGGCGAATGACGTCATCTCTTTGTTCATATATGTGCTTTCTTTCGAGTGTTGCGCAATATTATGGACTTTCGAGTGTCGAAGCAGCTTATTGTAGACTAGCGGATACTGAAGTTGGCTATTTTTAAATTCGAAGTCAGTGTTAATGGCATTTGAAAACCTTGCAGACATGTCTTCACGAAATGTATAAGACTTTTCGAGGCAGCTTATTGAAGACTGTAGCGGATAAGTTATTATTTAAAGTTCGAAGTCAGTGTTAATGGCATTTAAAAACCTTGCGGACATGTCTTCACGAAATGTGCACGACTTTTCGTACGAACAGAAAGCTTTAGTTTGGCTGCGTGTTGTGTACCCTCTTCTCTTCGACGAAAACCAACGCTGCTTTCTGCTGAATAAATCAAAGGAGGAAATGTGTAGTTTCACTTCTCGTTTTATTATTATTTTATATTTTTTTATATATTTTTTTCAATTTTTTTATTCACTTCCTCGCATGAAATTAAATAGATCCATCTCCTCCTCAAAAGACCCAACAATAACATCGCAATATGTAAGCGAGAGGCTTCTACAACTCTTGATTTCACTCAAAATTTTTCCATTGACCTCATGCCAATTTAGGCTGATTTAGGTGTTTGTAACCTGTCAATTTTTTTTCTTTTTTTGCGCTTTTATAAACGAGAGTACAAACTGGGATCAAAGACCAGGCATAAGCGGTCCCTTGCCAGAGCTCTCGTCAGCCTGAAATAGCTTAATTGTCTATTGCGATATGACGCAGACATACAACCAGAAAGAGCAATGACGACCACAGTTAACGTCATTGCACCTGAACATGTCACCACGTGCGTATTTTAGACGTAAACACACTCTTACAACTTGCCTTGCTTATGATTGTGCTCAATTTACATGGCACGGCCTCTCGTAATAGACGTGAATACCGATCGACGCTTTACGTCTAAAATGCAGGTGTTCTGGATCGTGAAGCCTCAACGTCATAAGAAACATAATTTTAATTTCAATATTTTTTCACGGCGTGGGTTAATTTGTTTTCTACCGCTGTTAAAAAAATAGTTCGCGGAAAAAGTAGCGAAAGTTATGCATTGCTTCAATAAAACGATAAAATAAGTTTCCTTCTAGAAAATTACACATTGATTATTGTGAACCATTAAAGTTGGCTTCTATCTTAATTCGACTTTTATCTAAAGTCGACGTTTGTTTCTCCGATTTTTTTTCGTTCACTAGTTTTCAGGGATCCATGAATTTTCTTTTTTATTTCAAGGATGGCTTAAAGTCCTTTGTGCACATTATCATAAATATTCATGTACCGTTGAAACAGGTTATTTCAAACCAGCACATAGGCATAAACTAGATAAGCAGGTGCGAATGAGATGTTGATAACTGAGTGTGGCCTTTTGTCAGAAGAATACCTTTAATGCTCATGCTTAATGCGCCAGTAAAAACCAATCTTTATTACTATCAACCAGACAGAATATTTCTCATAAGTTCTGGCAAGAGACCATGATCATTTTCTTTTGGTTCTGGTTTATCACTACTCTTCCGGCTGTTATTGTTAATTATATAGTAATTTTAGGAAAATCTTTCTTGTGGACTTGTCCATGTAAAGAAACATTACCTTCCTTGAATCACTTCATAAGAATTTTGCTAATTAAATATGAAACTGAAAAACACATATATTTCAAATCGGATAAAAAGAATTTGTTTAAAGAAAAATGGAAGATTTTTGAGGAAACATTTTGAACTAATAATTAAAGTCGTACAACGCTATTATTAAGGAAAATCGTTAAGTTAAATAAGTTTGTGGAGAAGAATTGACAATATCTATTTTCTTTATTAAATCAATATGGTGTCATTGTTAACTTCTGTAAACCAAACTTAATTCATTCTTCTGTAACTTAATTGTTAAAAAAAGAATTGTAATTGTTGTAATTATGGTAATAAATAAATAATTATAATAATAGTAAAAAAAAAAGCCTCAGAAAAAGTGAAACTTAATAGTACGTGCTGAAACGATTATTGTGGGTTTTGGTTAAGTCTGAGACGTATGTTAATCATGGCAATCCACCCTTAGGAAGGAAAAAGCGCAGGAAAGGACAGCAGAAATTAGTCGTAAGCATTTTTATTGAGACATGTTTCATATAGAAAAACATATATACGCATGAGCGACGTAATTATCCTGATAGCTGCTAGGCAACGTAGCTAGCACTGGATCGACAGGAGTAGCTCGACACTGAAGCGATCGGGAGCGAAGTAGCGCCTTTACTTAAGATCTAAAAGATTTGCGAGGGAAAAAAACATATAGAAACAAAACTAAAATTCTCCACTTTGATGCTATATACGCCACCCCACGATATCAACTCGCCAGAACGAAAGTTTCACTTTCACATGAAGTCTTTTCTCTCTAGATTCTCTTTTTTTAGCGTAGTACCAGATGGTGAATTGGGGTAAATACCCAGGCTAGGCAGTCCAATACCGAGAATACGAATATGGCCTAACTTCGGATAATTTCGTTGGAAAACTTCTTCAGCTTTATCGAATAAACATTTGGCATATCACCTCGTACGTAAATTTTCATTCACTTCGATTCCGACTAGATTTGCACGAAAAGAAATGTTTCTTCAACATTGAATGTGAAGAATTTAATATCAAAACA